ACCACTAGGGTGTTGCTATTTATGGACCTTGAGGCTCCCCGTGGGGCATACCAGGAGAGGCGGTCCCGTAGGTACGAGGGTCCTAGGCCATGAAGGGCTTTAAAGGTCAAAAGCAGCACCTTAAATCTGACCCTGTACTCCACCGGGAGCCAGTGCAGCTGGAAAAGCACTGGGTGAATATGCTCCCATGGCAGAGACCTCGTGAGGAGCCTCGCTGCAGCATTCTGCACCCGCTGGAGTTTCTGGGACAGCTTCAAGGGCAGCCCCACGTAGAGTGAATTACAGTAGTCAAGCCTGGAGGTGACCGTCGCATGGATCACTGTGGCCATGTCGGGCCACGAGATCATTTTCACATGCACTACTGGCAAGCCGTGTGTCCCCCATCTTATGAAGCACTGTGACTGCTATACAAATATCTTTATTTTGACTTCAGTTACACTTACAATCCCATCCTTCCCCCCAAGGTACTGATGTTAACATATATGCAGTTTTATTCACATTTGATCCTCACCACAACCCTGCAATGTAGACTAGACCAAGAGATAGTGACTGGTTCAACATCCACCAGTGGGGCTCATGGTAGAGAAGGGAACCGAATGTGTGCCTTCCCAATTCCAGCCTGTTACACTAACCACTAAACCACACCATCCTGTTTGTTTGTTTGTTTGTTTGTTTGCCTGTTTTTAAGCACCAGATGAAAGCAGATCTATTTACTTGGTTCAATTAATTCAACCCTCTTTTTTTCTTGTGCTGCTGCTGCTTAACATTTTTTTTTAAAAAAAACCATTTGTGTCACTTTATTGATTAACTTGTTTATTAAATAATAATGTAAGCTGCCCAGAGGGCTGTTGCCTAAAGGAAGAAGTACAAATATTTCATTAAGGAAATAAATAAGCTCCACATATCTTTTTATTAGTATGATTAATACCTACAAACATCTGGCCCTGCACTCACAATATATGGATTTGATGGGGCAGTTCGCCCATCTAGAATCACTGACTAAATGTGGGGGGGGGTCCCTCCATTTTTGAACCACTATTCAAATATTTAGCTTTACTGTGCACTACACTGAACAATTGTTACTTGTTTTTATTTATTATCTGCCCTTCACCATAAGGTCCCAAGGCGTGTCACAACAATGCAAAATATAACAATAAAAACATTTCATGACGATAACCTCAAACTGAGTGGGTTCTAAAATTATCCCCCTCAAATTGTGAAGTGCCCTGAGATCTACGCGTATAACAGTGGTACACAAATTTAATAAATAATAATAATTAATAAGAAGTCTGGGGTGTAAGAGGTGTGTCTTCAGCATATAAGGAAGGCTATATAGTGAAGGTGCCAGACACACCTCCCTGGGGAGGGAATTCCACAAAGAAGGTCCTCTCCTGGCCCACAAGCAACCCCCCAGCTTCAGAGGGGGTGTGTACGACTACCAAGAGGCCAGGCTCTGTCAATTTTAACACCTGAGGACATCTGTAGGGCAGTGCCAGCTGTGAGGTTTTGTGCAACCCACACCAAGAGACGAGAGTTTCACGAGCCCTTTGCCTCTACAGTCATACCTCAGGTTAAAGTTGCTTCAGGTTGGGCGTTTTCGGGTTGCGCTCCACGGAGACCCGGAAGTAACAGAACACGCTACTTCCAGGTTTCGCCGCTCGTGCATGTGCAGACGCTCAAAATGACATCACGCGCATGTGCAGAAGTGGCAAATTGTGACCCGCACAGACACGCAGGCGCAGGTTGCATTCGCTTCAGGATGCGAACAGGGCTCCGGAATGGATACCATTTGCATCCAGAGGTACCACTGTATCTTACGCATGAGTCACTGTGTGGAGCATCTGCAACTTGCAATCTACACTAGTACAGTGGTACCTCGGGTTATAGACGCTTCAGGTTACAGACTCCGCTAACCCAGAAATAGTACCTCGGGTTAAAAACTTTGCTTCAGGATGAGAACAGAAATCGTGCGGTGGCGGCCGCAGCGGAAGACCCCATTAGCTAAAGTGGTACCTCAGGTTAAGAACAGTTTCAGTTTAAGAACGGACCTTCAGAACGAATTAAGTTCTTAACCCGAAGTACCACTGTAGATGAAAGGTTAAAGAGCCCTTTGCCTGTTTCTTATGCAGGAGTCACTGTGTGGAGCATCTGCGACTTGCAATCCACACTAGCAGGCAAGAGGTTGAAGAGCCTTTTGCCTGTGTCTTTCCCGTATGCAGGACTTTAACCCCAGGGTGGGTTAAGCGCTGCCTTTCCAAGTGCATCTTCCCACTACCTAATTCTGCACAGGATTTGGGGGGGGGGGGGGACTTTACAACAACCATAGATGTCCAGTGAATTTTGTCCTCCTCCTATTACAGAAATGTGTTGAGGCTAACAGTTTGTCTAAGGCTAAGTGAGTTAGTGGCTGGAATGAGTTCTCATAACAAATGCAGTTAAGTTAACAAACTTTTTAAAAATAATAATAATAACAAATGCAGTTACGTTAACAAACTTTTTTTTAAAAAAGGAACACACTCAAAATGTTTGCTGGTGCCTTCATTTCCCTGCAAAAGCCGCTATGCATAATCTCTGAAACGTCTGCTTTTCCCAACGTCCCTCTTTAAAGAGATCAGGGCAACAAGCACGGTGCTCCTTGCTCTTTTGATGCTCTGCAACAGTCCTGCAAGGTAGACTCAGGCAGCATCAAGGTCACCCGCAAGCTGTGCAACCGAGTCAGGATTTGAACCTGGGTCTGCAAGGTCCCAGCCAGGCACTCTTACCACTTCACCACCACCGGTACAGCACAATCCTAACCGCATCCATGCAAAAGCAAGTCTTGTTGAATTGAACAAGGTTTCCTCCCATCTAAGGGAGCTGAGGATTCCAGCCAGACTCTGCTAATGTTTCAATGCCTCTTCTCAGGGACTGTGTGTGTGAATGAGAGTGCAGCTTTTCCAAGGAAACGCTCTCAGTTCAGCTGTTACCGAACAGTTGATCCTTTCCCCCTTTCTAAATCCAGCAGACCTCTCTCTTTGCAAGTCTCTTATACCAGCAGCAACCTGAGCAATCGCTCATAAAGTTAAGAGCCGGGGCAGCTTGTGTGTGTGTGTCTGTGTGTGTAATAAAGGAAAAGAATCACTTGCTAAACGCTGAAGGAAGTTCAATGCCTTGTGCCTGCGGAGAATAAGCCGGGATTGAAGCTGGTTCAGAGATTTTGACAGTACACAAAAGCCAACAGAGGATGCTGCAAAAAAAAAACGTGGTTGTTTGATAGCAATGAAAGGAACAAGCACTATGCAATGAGACAGAAAGGAGCAGCCAGCTACACAAGCAATTTCTTTGAAAGAAGGTGAACAGGGGGGCTGCCCTGAGTGCAGAGAATTTTTTTATATTATTATTATTCCTATTTCGGTGCCTTTGTGCTCCCTTACACTTGCATTCCTTTTAATTGGATGTGGGACGGTGGAGGGAACAAATTTCTCCCAACAACAAAGCCAGAAGCAGGAACAGAGAGAGAAAGGGAAGGAGAAAGGATCCACAAAAGCAGGCAACAATTGCAGCTTAATCTCTTAACAGGATCGGTGGGTAGTTAAAGGAGAGTCTTTGTTTGCACCTTATATTTCCTTGCTCCCGCCCCTCCCTTTAAAAAAAAAATCACAAGGCGGCATCTCTAGGGGCTGCAACCCTATACCCCCAGTTGCCTGGGAGAAAGCCCCATTGAATTGGGATGGGGGGGGGCTTGCTTCTGAGCAAACATTGCACACCATCCGGCTGTAAAAGAAAGTTTGTAAAAGATATCTCGAAACACACTGAAACTGCGCGCGGGGGGGGGGGGGGGCAGGTTTGCACCTTTCCAGGCAACGTTTACCAACAAAGTTACAGCACCATCTGGAAAACCCGTTACTTTAGATTTGTTTTAACTGGATGTTTCTCTCCACCCCTTTCTATAATGGGAGTTTTACCCAAGTTGAACAATAAATGCACAAACGGGGGGGGGGGGGGTTAGGAAGTTGGAAGCAAAGCTCACAAGATCCTTTGCCTTAGCTGCTAAAATCATTAGCTGCAGAAGCGTCAGGGGGTCTCTTATGCCTTCCCACCCCCCTATGGCTGCTGGGGGGGGGGGGAGAAGGAATTACCTGCCAGCTGCCGTTCCCTCCCCCCCCCAAAAAAGACCTTCCCCTTCCCAGCCTCCCTGCCAAATGTTTTTGGGTGTTTTTGATAAAATGTTTCTAAGGATGCAGTCCAATATATACACACTTAAACTGGGAGTTAAGACCCACTGAATAGCACAGGGCTTGACTTCTGAGTACATATAAGGTTGCACTATGACACCCCCGTTTCCTAGCCACCACAAAATTAGCTCGCTGATTTCAACAGGGTGGTGGGTGTATTTCTCAGGGGAGAAATCTCTCTGAAACTCCTTTCCCAAGCCAGCCCTTAATTTGTGGAGAGAGAGAAAATGCTACTGGACCCCTTGAAAGGTCTGGGAAGACGCTCCACCTCCGATCTGGAAAACCTTCCATTTCCAACATATACACACACGGATGGGGAGCGAGAATGCACTCTGCACTAACTCAGGGGAAAGTGGCATCTATTCCGGGTTTGCTCCAGGAGTGTACTAATCCTGCCACCTAAAGTGCCAAGGCTAGGCAGATGTAAGCCCTATCCTCCCGTCTACAGATACATACACCCATAATTTTATTTGTATGCCGCCTTTCCACAGTTCAAACCACGCTCGAGGCGGCTTACAACTTGAAAAAACCCGCATAACTTCAACATAACCGAAGCAGTCATAAAGCATTACAAACCACACAATTTCCACATAAATCACTGCCATACGTGACAGAAGCACGCACTGATCTATAGAGAGCGCGGGATCATTGTGATCTATTGCGGGAGGCGGGGAATCAGCCATGGGGTATCTTCTATGACCGTCTCTCCACTCACAAATCCCCTTTGTGCGCGGTCCCGGCGAGGAATCTCCGGCAAAGGAACCCCACCGGCTCGCCCCGGGAGCCGCAGCCGGGGCAGCCTCTCCGCTTCCACATCCGCGGAACTCCCCGCCCCGGTAAGTTCCCAGCTTCGGAAGATGCAAGCAAGGCGCCCCTCTCTCTCCAGCCGCTCCTGGGACGCAGCAGCGAGCGAGGATTGCAAAGCAGAAGCGGCCGGTTCTCACGTCTCTCCCCCCACCCACAACACCTCCTTTGGCAATGCAGAAACGCGCTTCTTCGGTCGTCTTTCTCTGCAAGCAGGCGAGACATCCACCGCTCCCCGCTGCTTCCCCGGCTCCTCACGCCCGCCCGCGGCAGAAATGCTCCCTTCCCCAGCGAGATCGCCGCTCGACTCCAGCGTTAGCAGGTGAAAACCAGCTCTCTGGCCACCCCCGGCAGCATCCCCTCCCAAAAAAAAAAACCCCTTCCGACCGCGTTTGAAATAAGCCGCTCAAAGCCCGACACAATAAATAAGAGATTATTTTTCTAAAGGGAGAAGACCCAATTGCAACACCCGCCGCCGCTCGGCACCTTGCACTGCCTAAACCGGGGATCCCCCTTTAGCAACGAGGAAAGCATACGCGCGCCAAACGCAGGAGAAGGCAGAGACCTTAGGAAGCAAGTTAGCCACCCGGTAGAACTGCTTTAAAAATAAAATAAAACAAAATTTGGCGCTAGGGAAAGCGTATTCTTTCTTTTTTCGGGAGGGGAGAGATACAACAAGCACGAACTTTTCCCTCTTTTTTTTGCAACTTGAACGCAAATAGATATCTCGTTGCAAACCAAGCCTCTCCGAACACGTTGCGGAGAAGAGACGACCAGCCGGTCCGCGTTAGCGCGGGGCTGCGGCGCTTCCCACGCTCGCAAGCGGCTGCCGGAGTGAGCCTGGGCTTTTTGCAAACAGTGGCAAGTTTGCAACAAAAAGATGGGACGGGGTTGGTCGGCTGGCTGGCTGTGTATGTGTGGAAGTTTCGCATGCAACTCTCTCCCCACGCTGACTCCATCGCGGATCCCCCTCTCCAAACCCATTCATCCAGGCAAATGAAAAGCGAGGCGCCTGTTTTCAAGGAAATAAAGAAAGCCCAGCTCACGCACCCTTCCAAGAGGCCGATCAGCTCCGGAGCTTCGCAGCTTCCCTTCTGCATAACGTATCCATGGACGGGGGCGGAAGACGGGGAGCCAAGCGCCGCCGCCGCCGCCGCCGCTGCTGCTTTTCTCTCGCCTTCCTGGCGCAGCGCGCAGCGCGGGACTGGTGCCGAGTGGAGAAGCGCTCTCGGTAGCAACTCCTAACTCGGGGGGTGGGGGTAGGTGGGGGGGTGCTGGGAGGGGAGGGGAGGAAAGGGGGCGATTCCCAGCCCGCGGCGCCGACGATCGCAGCGCAGCCTACCGAGAGGCAGAGCGCGCCAGCGGCTGCAGCCAATGCGGGGAGCCGCGTCTCCTCGCTCGCCAGCCCAGCAGGGAGAGAGCGCGAGGCGCGGCGACGCGAGAGAAAAGGCTGGCTGGATGCACAACGCCGGGGATGCTGGGGGGGGGGGCGCACATTCACGTGCACACAAACCCCTTGCACACGCAGACGCGGTGCAACCGAGCCCGGCTTCTGCACCGCCGCCTAAAATGCTCCTGCAAAAAATAAAATATATTCCCTGCTGCTCCTTGCAACCGAGAAGGAGGCAGGCTCCGGCGCGGCTCTTCTCGCTTGTGACGGGCAGGCAGGCTTTCATGCATGCTGTGAAGTAAGTCCCATCGCACGCGGCGTCTGGTAGTCAATAAGGACCCCCCCACACACTTTTTGGGGGGGCGGTGGGGAGGTTTAATGATCCCCTTCCTCCACGCAACTCAAAGTGGTCCCCACCATTCGGCGCTCCAATTTGCGATGCTCACAGCCGCCCTCTCGGGTAGGTTAGAGCAAAGAGCAGGCATCCCCAATCTCGGCCCTCTAGATTTTTGGGACTACAATTCCCATAATCCCTGACCACTGGTCCTATTAGCTGGGGATGATGGGAGTTGTAGTCCCAAAAACATCTGGAGGGCCAAGTTTGGGGTGCCATGGTCATCTGGATTTGAACCCAAGCCTGACTGGTCTTAACACTGCGGAGGCTGGTTGGTTACGGCAAGTGGGGCGCTGCCCCCAACATCCTCAGCTGGGTCTCATCCAGCCCTAGCCTGCTTGCCTTCCTGCTTACTTGCCAGGCCAGGGGTTGGTAGCGGTACCTGTCAGCCTCTTCCTCCTCCTCCTGACTCTCAGTGTTGCCCCTGGCAGCGGAGAGGATGGGGACAAAACCAGAATGAGTTGGCCCCGCCTACCACTGGCTCTGGCTCCACCCACTGTGGGCTCCCTGCATTCCACCTAGCCAATCTCAATGGGCACCAGCCACTGCTGCAACTCTACCAAGCGCCATAGAGGGCGCCAAAGTGGTGTAATGGTTAGAGTGTCTGCCTCAGACCTGGGAGACCAGAGTTCGAATCCCAAAGAGGCGTAAAGCTCCCTGCGGTGACCTTGTGCCAGCCACTGCCTCTCAGCCTAACCTACCTCACAGGGTCGTATGGGGATTAAAGGAGGAGAGAGGAGAGCCAGGTGCACCGCGGAGAAAGAAGGTGGGATATAAATTAAATAAATAAACTTTAAGAAATTTAACTTGTAAAACAAGTATATTCCCTGCTCCATCTAAAAAACACACTTTATCCCTTATACATATATCGTTATTATATCATATATCTTAATTGTGTAAGGGATGAGATATGTTCTACCTGTTTTTCCCTAGTGCTCTGATACTCACCCTGGCAACCCACACAACTGGAGTGGTCCTGGGTCATCTCATATTGGAAGGAATGATCTCTACAGTGGTACCTCAAGTTACATACGCTTCAGGTTACAGACTCCGCTAACCCAGAAATAATACCTCGGGTTAAGAACTTTGCTTCAGGATGAGAACAGAAATTGTGCTGCGGCAGCGGGAGACCCCATTAGCTAAAGTGGTACCTCAGGTTAAGAACAGTTTCAGGTTAAGAACGGACCTCCAGAACGAATTAAGTTCTTAACCCGAGGTACCACTGTATTTCAAACTTTAGGGATGTCACAGCACAAATTTCTCTGTGTGTGTGTGTGTGAGAGAGAGAGAGAGAGAGAGAGAGAATGTTTCAGTAGCCTAGCAAAAGTGATTTTTATTTCCCTATAAATTCCAACTACTGTCTTAAAATTGGCTTTGGATTAAATCTAAGGACACACAGTGCCCACTCCACACAAAAAAAAGGAAGGAAAGAAATGACTGCCATAAACACATTTTCAGGTAGGAAAATAGGAAGTTGCCTTATACTGAGTCAGATTATTGGTCCATTGTGCTCTGTGCTGTCCACACTGACTGGAAGCAATACTTTATAGAGTTGTAGGCAAGAGTCCTTTCCACCCTTACCTGGAGATGCCAGGGACCGAACCGGGGACTTTCTGCCTTCAAGGAAGATGCTCAGCCACTGAGGTTTTGTGTCCTGGCTACAAATCCACATTTAGCTTTCTCTGGATGAAAGGAATTTCAGCAGATTTACTACGGCAAGTCGCTCTCAACTTCCAGCAAAATTCACCAGGCTTTTCCCCACAGAGTCTCTTCAAATGTGGATTTGGGCTAAATTTTGGTGGCAACTACCGTATTTATCGCTCTATAAGACGCACCAGACCACAAGACGCACCTAGTTTTTGGAGGAGGAAAACAAGAAAAAAAATATTCTGAATCTCAGAAGCCAGAACAGCAAGAGGGATCGCTGCGCAGTGAAAGCAGCAATCCCTCGTGCTATTCTGGCTTCTGGGATAGCTGCGCAGTCTGCATTCGCTCCATAAGACGCACACACATTTCCCCTTACTTTTTAGGAGGGAAAAAGTGAGTCTTAAAAAAATACGGTACTTCTTTATGAATACCTACAGCGCTTCTCAATAAGTGCAGATGTGTTTTTGGGATTCACATCTCCTCCTCCCACCAACAACCCTGGAAGGGAGCTTGGCAGAGCCATACCAGCTGTTTGGACATAAAGCCAAGCTGTGGTTTGGCATTATAGGAGCGAAGGTCATGGGCCTTCTCTCCCCTCCTCCTTCCCTTCCTGTTTTGTGGTAGCTTTGTGGTTCACCATTACCTCTGGACCAGCAAGTTATTTTTTATCTATTACCTACCATTTGCCCTAAGTTCCCAGGGCAGGTTACAGCATTAAAACTCTCTCTATATATTAATTTTGACAAAGTAATAATCATAAATAAGAATAAAAATGCACCCCACCTCCAAGTCCAATCCATTGTTCCAACAGACCTTTGTTGTTGAAAATTCCTCTGAGACAATGGCCATCCCTGTATACCTGAAGGAGCGTCTCCACCCACATTGTTCAGCCCGGACACTGAGATCCAGCGCCGAGGGCCTTCTGGCGGTTCCCTCACTGCGAGAAGTGAGGTTATAGGGAACCACAGAGAGGTCCTTCTCGGTAGTGGCGCCCTCCCCCGTGGAACACCCTCCCTTCAGATGTGAAGGAAACAAGCAGCTATCCTATCTTTAAAAGACATCTGAAGGCAGCCCTGTTTAGGGAAGTTTTTAATATTTAATGCTGTATTGTTTTTAACACTTGATTGGGAGTTGCCCAGAGTGGCTGGAGAAACTCAGCCAGATGGGCGGGGTATAAATAATAAATTATTATTATTATTATTATTATTATCATTATCATTATCATTATCATTATCATCATCATCATCATCATCATCCCTGGGCAGAGCCAGTCATGAAGCTTTTGCCCTGAGAAGCTGCCATGAACACAGCTCGCTACATGGGGCAGTGTCCTATAGTTTCTGACACCTGAGTGCTTTGAAGGAAGGAAAAGTGATGCAATCACATCCCAGATTATGCTTTGCTGTCCTGGATGGTGCATTTGGACTCTCATTTACTGTTCTGTGTTACACAGAAACCTGAGGATGTTTGCAGGGCAAAGGGAGAGAAGGAAGATGTTGGACATGGGCCAATGTTCAGTCATATTTAGCTGCTGCTAGAAGGTCCCAAGCATTTCCAGAGGTCTAGCATAAAAAGCAACAAGGTGGGCAGGTCCAAAACCCAGAACAGCTGTTTCAGAGGGAAATAGGTTGTCCTTCTGCAATGTACTTCATGCAACCTGCTAGGCCTGCAGCATAGCCGTAACATTTTTCTTATCCCCATAGTGTGCAAAATAAAAAATAGTGTTTTGAGCATGCCCAGAGGGCACGTCGCTCACCCAGTATGTGCAACCAGAACCTAAACTTCTTGGGTTATTTGGGGGGGGGGGGGAGTGAGCTCTGCAGGACAGAGGATGTGATTATCAAGCTGACTTGGATCCCAAATACATCCCTTTTTTTAAAAAAAAAAAGTTCTCGTTTTGTTTTGTTAGCCATGCTTAAATTTTATTTATAGATTTTCCAAATGTAAAAGTAATACCAGTAATACAACATTTTTCCAATTTGCATTTGGTAAGTAATAGTGTGTTTGAGCATGCAGAGTACGTTTCTTTCACCCAATGTGTGCAGAATCTGAACATCTTGTATTGGGGGAAAGTAAAAGGAGGAGGACATTATGATCAAACAGGCCTGAATCCCAAATACTGAATCCTCTATATATATGACACTCAAAGAAGTACTTTTTGGTTAGGGCAAGC